CATGGAAATGGCTCCACAGAAATAAAAAATTGCTAGGAATCATCTCATCTGGTGAGAAGAAACTGTACTGCATTGTCAGTGTCTGAGGAGCAGAGTGGTTCCCATTGAGAATACTCCATCTGGCAATCTGCTTTGCTTTTCTTTCTAAAGAACAGAAAGTGCCAGCACTATACCTCCTGTAAGAAACACCTTGCAGACCGTGGTGGAAGAAATCCCCATCCCCTTCCAACCCATCCTTGCATGGGAAACCCTCCCACAGCCCCATCAGCCACTGAGGGACAGGGTTCATTTCTACTCATTTCCTCTCTTCTGAGGACACAGACCTCCCCAGCACATTTTTAAGCCAGCAGAAGCTTTAAAACACACAGACCTGCACTGTGGTCAAAGTTAATTCAGTGTAAATTAGAATAAATCAGTAGGTTTGCCTTCTGCACAGCTGATCCTGATCGAAGCACAGCTGCCAATAATGTGCCCCATATGGGGCAACAATTGTCTCCTGTTTGTTCCTGTGCCCCCCTAATCCCCCTGTCCCCTGCAGATATGTACCTGCAGCTCTGGCTGGATGGCCACAGAAAGGTGTTGGGCTTTATATATATATAATTATGGAGATGGTTTGTCTTGTTATGGTAACCATACCCTACAAGGCTGCACAGGTAGCAGCTGTAAATGTGGTGAAGACTCAGCTGATACCAGCTGAGCTGCATTTTCTTTTACATCAAAAGCAACTGAAGGCCTTAAAGGTTCCTGAAAACTTGCTAATTTTATTGATGGTCCTACTACTCCTGGTAAATAAGCAGAGATCTGTGGAGCAACCAAAGCAGAGATGACCCTAAACAAAAAAAGGAAAATCAGTGCCTGTTAGAACTGGAAACTGAGAACTAAATTCAGCTAAATAAAAATAAGAAATACATTTATCTGGATGTTTTGTGCCTAGGAACTGAAAGCCTTGCTGTTGCATGGTGTGAATAAGCATTACCAGACCTCTCTCAGGTGCCAGACACAGAACCAGGTGTGTGAGATTCCCTGGGATTCCATCGTGGCTCAGGGAAAATGCTGGCTGGAACTGATACAATCCTGTTTCTGTGGAAGGCACTGATTTCTTTTAGTTTTGAAGATACCATGACTATATGTACAGAATCTGTGCCTTTGAAAGTTGAAGAAACAAATAGTGAGGATTGCTGATAAATTTGGATTTTAGAAATCTATTAGGCTTAATGTTGCAATTCCACGGTTGGGAGTACACAGCTTTATCTTATCACAGTGGCCAGGCAGGCTGCTTCCTATTTCTAGCTCATGACCTTTTATTTCAATATTTTTTAAATCCATCCAGAGTGCTATAATGCATGAGAAGAACCTTTTGCATCCACAGCAGGAGCTGCTATGTGCTCGAGACTGCTTCATATCAACTCTCTCCAAGTCTCACACAGCAGACAGCCCACAAGGGGACGAAGGACAGGGTCAAAGAAAACCTAGATTTTGGTAGAAAAATGCTTCCAGGTTAGTGCAGCTGTGGGAAGTGGAGCATGTCTGTGTGCATTACTGCAGCACTGTAACAAATAAAGCCTTACTCCAAAGGCAAGAGGGAACCCAGCCATTCATCCTAAATGTCAGAGCCCTGACAGAAAAACCCATTATAAACACGTGAGGAGCTGAAGCCACCCTTGTGCCAGTGAATGGGATGAAGAACAGCAATGAATAATAGCAAAACAATGGCAGGAAAAATTGCCTGGTCACCCTGCATCCAGTAGGAGCTAAATCACACCCAGGACACACGTGCAGAACTGGAATTTGGCTGCCTGCACTCAGAGTCCCCTTATCTGCTCACCAGCCTCTGCTGCAGCCTGGAAGCACTGACAGCAAGGGAGTGGTGACACTTTCCCCAGCATAATATCACCCACATCCAGCACTGCATTGAAGAAGTGCAGGAAAACGTGGCCAAAATTCAGCATTTTCCATGGGGGCAGTCTGGAAAAATGTGCGGCTCGCAAATGGTAATTAGCCAGTGTCCTGGCTGAGGTGTAGAAACACCTCCAGCTCTCCATGGAAATCAAATTTCCATCTGAATAGAGCCCAGTGGCTTCTAAAATCAAAACCTGTGAGTTTGTTTTTGTTGCTTCTATTTAGGAAAGCTACATTTGTGACTGTATGCTCAGCTGAGATTAGGAGGTAAGAAAGAGCCTTTTCCTTTGATTTCACTTTTTCATTCTGAGGGATGAGAGCAAAATAGACCAATCAATAACAATAATTATCATTTTCTTTTTATTGATTTTTATTAAGAAGCCCTTAAAGGCATCATGATTAACTTAGAGATAACTTGAGGAAATTGATGAGGTTTTGAATGCTGTTGTGACACAGCAATAATAAGTGATTTCTATATTCAGATTCTCAATCTTCCTGGCTCTATGGCTGAGCCAGAATGAGTGAGGAGGAGAATCCACCAAATATAATAGAGCTATTGACACAATCTGGCTTTGCTGTTTTCTCACTGACACATTTAATACATGAGGCTGCATTTTGCAAAGCAGGTGCATTGACTTCACCTGACCTGTACAATTGCCCATTGCTTTTTATTCATGTAAAGTTTCCTGTCCTTTCTGTGTCCACCACATTATCCATGAGCAATTTGCACATTGATGAGAGATGCCAGGCAGTGATTCTTGGAGATTGAAACATTTTAAAGGAAAACAATTTAGCTGGACACTTCTTGGCTCATTTACTTCAGTTGGCCACACATTCATTGTCCCTGAAAATAAAAAGTTCCTTCATCTGCTCTATTTATAGAACACTGAAGAAAGTGCTGTCCATCCTTTCTGCTGTGACTTTTCTCCAAAATTCACTGTGACCTGCCAGGAAGATCCTCAGACTTCGCTCACACTCTCCAGAGGGACCCCTTGTTTTCACCTATTTGATCACCTCCTCTGGCCCCACACAAAATGCTTCTCTGCCTGTCCCTCCATCCTCCTGTGTGAGCTGTATGCAGCTCATTATTCTGCAAATCATTCAGGGGATACACAAACTAGAAGAAAATCTCACATAATCAATTCCTCCTTTCTAAAGCACAAGTTAAAAATAGAAATGCAAGGCAAGATAAGAGATAGGAGCGTGAATAAATAATTGTTTGCTCTGCAGCTGAGTGTTGGCCCTTGGTTTGTCAATAGTTTATTGCTTTACTCCATAGAAGACGAGGATGACAAGTGACCTTGTTCCCAGGCAAATGAAATTCAGATGCATTATAAAACAACACCTTCAGATTGTAGGAGGGTTTTTTTCCTCAGATCTGCCTGTTATTCAGTACAAATAACATGTATTAAATGTCACATTCTTTTCATCAGGTGCTCAGCCTCCTGCCTCTTCCTGGGTCAAAATTTCTATAATTACCTTTATTTTGCACAATAGCTCATTTATCTCTATCAATTTTGCCTTATGAATGCTTTTTGACTTGTTCAAGACCTGTCCATTACAAGTGTGAGGTGTTTGTACAATGGGCTTCCTTATCAATTCAGTAGGAGGTTCCTCTGCTTCTGAAATCTCTGAAAATAGCTTTATTTTTATTAGCTATCAAGGTTTTTTAATATAGTTGTTATATTTTACCTACCAGAAGAGCACTCATGGTTCAAGCATTTTAATATAGCGATCACTGTCACATTCACAACAAATTTCTGCTTCTGAATATCATTAAGAATGAAAATTTTTGTCATCAGCAGGCAGAATAATTGAAGCAAAATCTTTGAAGTATTGGTGGAATAAGGGCAGAACACACTGTCAGGTGCTCCTTAGCTACAAATATTTACTAATAGATGTTTGTTCACCTGGAACGTGCAACCACCAAAAGGAATTTTTAAATGTTGCCAGATGGGTTGGATTCTACTGTTATTTTGAACACATCCATTAAGAGCTTGGAAAGAATTTCCCTTTCTCAACATCCGCCTTTCCTTCTCTACACAAACTCTCTTTCAATGTGTGGTAAATGACAATATGGGGAAGTGATGGCACTGACATGCTGCAAGCTTCAGAAACTCTTACCTGAGCTTTTCTACGTCACTGAAGTCCAGCCCCTGAGCATGGAAGTGGCTGGTGATTAAAAAGTTTCCTTCTGTTTCTAAAACAGAAATAGAAGAAAGGGAACACATCCTTTGTCTGCAATTAATTTGGAGTTATGGCTTATTAACCTCAGTATTTCAGAACTCTTTTTCCAAAAGAAAATATTTCATAATTTTCCCATGAAGAGAAAATCAAACATGACAGAAAAGGTTCTGTTCCACTGTGGACTGTAAGAAACAAAGAGCAGGAATGTGAAACTCTGCCACAGAGGGAGGGACTTTAAAAATTTACTGTATGTCATACAAATGTCAAAAATACTCATACATAATTTGGAATATATATTTTTAAAATATATATATGTGTACATACATATGCCTACATGTATTTCTGGGGCAAACTCCAGATTGAGTTCCCACAGTATGGGAGATGATGACCAGAAGGAAATCTGCATGTGGGGACACATCATTTCTGGACACAGAGCAATCACAGCCCATCACCAAATGCTGCTGTTGGTTAGCAATGCCTGTGTCAGTCACTGGCTTTTCAATCACCCTCCACACCAAAGTTATTTTACAATTTGCCAGCTATTTCCCAGGGCTTTAGAATGCCCTTTAGATATATTGTGTGGCTTTGCCCAAAGCAAACATGCACCTCAGGCTTGTGGACTATATTTCTTTCAGGGTTTCCTGGCTGCCATCACCTATTGATATTATTTGATTTGCAGCCGCTATTCAAAGCAAACAAACAAAATCTCACAACTTCTTAAACCTTCCTCCACATAAGCCACTGATATTTACTGGGAGCAGGAGGGACAGGTAAAGATCTATTACACTTGTACTCACCCGTCTTTAGAAACGAAAGCAAAGGTTTAGCAAGTTATTTCCTTATGATTTTTCAGCCTGCCACTCTTAAGTTTCCTGGCTTTATCTCTGTTATGGGTGATGCTTCTTCCCATGGCCATGAGCAGGAGGGACAGACCTTCAGCAAAAAGACTCAAAGCAGCATTTTTCCCACCAATACTTCTGCCCAAAAAGTGTACAGGTAACTCATCTGTTTGCAAAGCATCCAGCTACCATCTTGTTTGAGACTCCAGTGGGTGTTTTAGGTGTTAAATGTGTGGGTGGGGAGGGTATCCCAAAGCAGGGATGATGCTCTGTGTTCACCTTTCCTGGCACCTGGAGCCTCAGTGCCACCTGGTACAATATTGGCCAGCACAGAATGGGCTTCCAGGCTGTCCCCAGCACCTGCTGACACAAATATCTTCCTCCAGCTGTGGTCTCATCGATGTTTCCTTTAGCTGAGAGCTCACAGCAGTGTATTCAGTTCAGATATCCACCTCCTGCTCCTTTTCCATGGGATATTTCTGGATGCTTCTGCCTTCTGCAGGAAGCTCTCCTCTCCCCAGCGAGCCCACAGGCTGCCCCTCCTTTCCCACACATTTACAGGTGGCTCCCAACATCCAGGCATTAACAGCAGCATTCCTCATGGCTTCGATGGAGACAGGCTTTTCCCCAAGGAACCTGCTCTATCACACCACCAAAGTTACTCCAATGTCATTTTCACTTAGCAGATAAAGCAGGCATTAATATTTGTTTGCTTTCAGTGTCAAAAAGGAGCTACTCAGTGTTGCTTTGCCACAACTTTGTGACAAAAAATTGTTACATTAAAAAAAAAAAAAAAAAAGCTTTTGAGTCTATTAAAACTATTGAGTTAAAGCAAACAAATCCTCATGTGTTAGCAACAGCTCCTTGCCTATATTGAGTTGATGGTAGTTCAAGAAGCAGCTCTTTGCAGGAGATTAAAGCACCAGGTACATTCAGCATTTAATTCCAGCAGCTCTGGATAGAGAGCCACAAAAATCTCACTGCAGTGTTTAATTTCTTCCTGAAGGAAAGTAGAATGATCACAGTGACCAGCTCCCTAAAAAGCCAGTTTGTTTTGTTTTGTTTGGGTTTGGTTTTTTTTGTTTGTTTTGGTTTTTTTTCTCATGGGCCCTTTAAATAGAGTAGTAGCAATAGTGCTGGATTAAATTAAATTTGTTCTCTTAATAAAAACAAACATTTCCTTTTTAATACAACCTAATCTGCATAGCCCAGAGTAGCAGGGGTTCCATAGTAGACATGAATGTGGACATGAAGGGGGACAGCTGGGATGTTGAGCACTTCATGGCTGTCCATAAGCTTGACACCTGCACCTGAATTTAAAATGAACGGGAAGGTTTCATCTGACTTGAATGCAGCTGCAGCCACCATAAGGTACAAGTGGGCATTTCTCAGATGAAGACCCAACAGGGCTCAGCTGTGACTTCTTGTTGTTTTCTTTTAAATAACATTTTTATAATAAAGTCTGATTACATCGATGCCTTTATTCATTTATTTCTGCAGGAAAGCCAGTGGTAATTAACTCGCACCACAGCCTGCAATTTGCATGTTAAAGTTTACAATCATCCTGTCACAGGGCCATAATAAGCACCATTTTACAGGGGGAACTCAGTAATTGAGGGTTTGCTTTGCTCATGGCTCGCTGCAAAACCTGGGTGAGGCTTTTTGTGCCACCAGCTCCGTGTGCCTGGGTCTGCCCTGAGTCAGGCAGGGAACAAAATCCATCAGGCTGGCTCCAGGGGAGTGACAGCAGATCAATTTGCCATCCTGCCTCCTCAGTGACAGCCTGCCAGCACAACTAAACCCAGGCACAGGTTCATAAACACACTCTGGCAGCGAATTCAGGGTATTTTACCCTTCAGAGGTGGCTGTTTGAGCCAGGGCTCCTTTGGGACTAAACACATGGCTTTTTGTCCTGCATCCTGTTAAATTTACTGGGTGAACACCCCTCTCCTTAGGGACCTTGGGGGTCTCCCCCTTGTGCTCCTCCAAGTGTCTCCCTGGCCTTGCCAGGCCCATCTGCAGCATTCAGCTCCTCTGGTGGTGCTGTGAGAAAGCCTTTTCCAAACTACTGCAAACAAAACCATGCAAGGGATGAAAAATAATTAGCCATGTGTCAATGTCTGATATATTTGCATTGTTTGGACAGAGTAGTTAATCACTGGTAAGACCACAACACGTGGTGTGAATTTGGATTATAACTAATACATATCAAGCAGAAGGCTATTAGTTACATCTAAAGGCACTATTTGATATTTTATTATTGAGAAAGTGAATGCAATTAATTATATTGCAATGTCCTTGCAAGATTCCTGTGGCAATACCTTGCAAAGAGCTGTTTGCTTTTAGATTCTTTTTCCTTTTGTTCAGATAGGAGCTAATTCAGGCAAACAAAAGGCATCAGGAGCCAAGATTCTGTTCCCATTAACACTCCTGAAGCCTTGAGTGGTACTGGAGGGGTCAGCAAGAGTCTGCATTTTTTAAGGGGTTTTAAATATAGGGTAAACTTTTCATTTTTGTAAAATAGTTGGTCTGCTGAAATGTCACTTCTTCCCTTGGGCTGGGAGTTAGCAAAGGACAGTCTCCATGTGGTCTCCAGAAAGGACTTCTGAGGGAAGGAATTTGATCCCAGATTTAATTAGAGGGGCAATATTTCCAAGTGTTCCCTCTCTGAAATGTCTCTAACCTACAGGAAAGAAAAGCTTAGGGCGCTTCTTTTTTATTTAAAAAGGCAATTGTATTAATTCAGCAAAATGTTGCATTGGAATTGCAATGGCTTTGACAGTTTAGTTCCCTGAAAATTGCAATAAAGCCTTCGTTACGCTACATTTTGTCCCCATTTGTCTTGTATACCATTGCCTTGCCTTTGGCACAATCAAAATAATCTTTAAAAATACTGCCATAAATGGATTGACTTTGACCTTCTGAGTATCTTGTCAATAAAATAAAAATGATAAATGTGTTTCAGAGTGCCACTGGCGCAATATTAAAGCAGAGTTACAATCTGAAAAGTGACATTTGAAAAATTAAGTTATGGGGAGGGGTCTCTGTCAACGGTGCCACATAAATAAGCTCTATTTACAGTGAAAAGAGGTGATTTTGCTAACTGCCAGTTTGTGCAATTCCTGTGATGTGGCCTCTGCCTCTTACATCATCATTAGCAATTAAAGATTACTGCAGCAGGAAATTAGCTGAGCCTTCTGTCACTGAGGCACAGAGCAGAGCAGCTCCACCTCAGTCCCCTCCTGTGCCCACTCTGCAGCGCTGGCATGGAGAAAAGGGACCTGGCCTCATCAAGGAATGGCTCAGACAACCAGAAAAGACCATTTTTGCTACATGATCAGCTCTTTGGAGATAAACGACTTCTAACAGAATTACCTCAAGGCTTTTTTTTTTATTATTAGATGAGAAGAAAAGAAATGAATATTCTGTAAAAAAGTCAAGAGATGTATGAAAATAAACAGGGCAGGCAAGTAAACAAATACGTCCCAAGGGGCAGCAGGCTTGATTCAGACTTTGAGATGCACACACACAAGCCCTGATGTGTTTGGCTTTGTGCCAAGCTCAAGTGAGTCTGACCTGTGGCTTCACTATTTGCAGACCTAACCAGAGCTGATTTCTCAAAACTCTACTGTTGTTTTTACACCATTTCTCTTTTTTTTTCTCTTTTCAACATTTCTTGTTCTGAATCTTCTCAGTGCATATTTAAAAGCACGTGAAGTGCACTTTATACTCGAGCATCAATTTATATCATGATTAAATCGTTCATGCATGTAATAAATTAAAATAAAAGCCCACGTACTTTCAAAGGTCAAAACGCTTTGGAACCTCAAAACACTACTGGATTTCTGAGGAGGAGAGACTCAGATGTTAATCCCTGAAATTAGGCTGAAATCACATTAAAAGGTGAAGGGGGTTGGTCCTGATTCAGTTATGATGAAAATCTAGACAACTAAAATCTTTACGCTACTAAGCTTGCACCTTTATATATTTAAATCTGGATTTGTTTGCCTTGAAAATTATCCCAATCCTAAAACGAATTGGAACATAATATAGGATTTTCTTGGTTTAAAAAGACAGGTGTCTGCTAAGGAAGGCAGGAGCCTTCCTTGAAATGGAAAATTTGGTAAACCCCCTCCCTCCAAATTATTATAATTTTGAAATTAAGGGGCTCTCAGGCAAAGATATGGGAATAGGAATAACAGTTCTTTACTAGGAGAATTAGAAATAAAAATGTAATATTACAAACTAAAAAGCAAACCACTGCCAGAGTCAGAATAGGACGTGTCAGGCTGTGGGTCAGGGAGGTGGCAGCAGTCCCATCCCATGGTGGCTGCAGTGCTCCTGCAGTGCCAGCTGTGCTTCTGCTGGAGCAGGATCCTGCACAAGGGGGGAGTTTTCCTCTGGAGCTCCAGGGCTGGGGGAGATGGGCCTGGGCTCCTCTGGGAATGCAGTGGGGAAGAAAGCTGCTCCTCTGGGAATGCAGTGGGGAAGAAAGCTGCTCCTCTGGGAATGCAGTGGGCAAAGGCTGCCTTGGGGTTCCAGACCTCAGGTTGTATCCAGGTAGGAATGCTTGGCTCCTCCCCCTGGGTGGAGCGTCTCCCCATGGGATGATGGAATTTTCTCAGCCATACAGGAACACTCAGTGACCATGAACAGAAGATAATTAATAATTAATGGCCCATTAAAAGAGATCTCCTGGAGGGAGGATTGGTTTGTAGAAGAGATAAAGAAAACAGCCCAGTGAACAGGAGATAACTGCCCCATCTCTGACAGAGAGGAGCAGAATACACACCCTCAATTTCCAGCCTCAGACAAGGATTTAAGCAGCCATTAGCAGCGTCCAGTGGAATTAAAGTGATGAACTAATTACTCTTACCCTCTCCACCCTCCCCAGCTCCCGAGTGCTGGCCAGGGGGACACCGCATCCTCCGCAACCCCCGCAGGAGCACCAGCTTCGACTCCCTGGAGCTGCAGCGAGTGTCCAGCCAGGACCTGGTGTGTGACCACTCCTTGCCACCAGCGTGGTACCGCCTCATGCTCGGCCAGCGGCCCGTGGAAATGCCCACCAGATGTGTCGAGGTCAGCAGAACCTGAGCACTTCCCATGGGAGCTGAAATAAACCCTCGGGGGGGTTTTCCTCCCCACCACTCTCTGTGCTGCCCTAGACTGTGTGGATTAGGTGGGGGGTAATGGGAAAACCACTTGAATAATGAATGATGATGATAATAATAATTATAATAAGAATTGTTGTCTTGATTTTTAAAAGTGTTACATTTTCTTTTATAGTTCTTTGAAAGTTTTAAAGTTCAGATGTCGCTATTGAACATAAAATGAGTACACAGAAGCTTGGTGAGTTTAAGAGAGAAAAAGACCCAATTTTATTTCTGACCTCGCAATATATAGAATTTCAAAAGTGACAGTGGATTGGAGGATGAAACTGTTACTTCTCCAACCACACTGGTCAAACCAACAATCTATCAATTCTCTCTTCTTACAAAGAAGAATGCAAAACAATCATTATTTACATGAACAGTGTGTGAGAACTCCAGTACAAATTTGTAAATATTATCAGAAGGCTAAAGAAATTTTATGAGAACTTTCAAAAGAACTATAAAAGAAAACTTTACACTTTTAAAAATTGGGGCAACAAATAATAATTAAAAGAATAACAGCAACAACAACAAAACCAACAGCAACAAAACCACCACCACCACCATCGAAACCAATACCACTGTCACATGCAAAGGCATCAGTCAGACACCAGAATCCCTATGGAACAGCCAATATTCAACCAGGCTAGGAAATATTCCAACATAAAGCCAGGTGTTTTGCAACTCTACAGAAATTTTTAGTAAACTCTGTATGTCACTTCAGGCTGTGCTTTTTCCAAGCAACTGTATGGCTTTAAGAATGGATTCTGCTACCTGACATTTCTCCCTATAAATTATTATGAGTTAGGGATTTCTTCTGCTGATGAAATCAGAAAAAATAATATTTAAAGCAATCTTTGAGGAAACCAAAGGAAAAGCTAAAGTTGAATCTCTTTCTGCATTGAATCAATTCTTGCATTCTTTAGTTTCATAAGTATGCTAATGGCTTTGTGGAGCAAAAAACCCTTCATCACTCTCTATAAAAGAGACAAAACAATAATTATCTGGTTTTATCTGTGTTTAATATGTATGACAATAATGTTTAACTTGCAATTATTGTTGCCAGAGCAACTTGAGCCCCTCACTAAAGTCACTGCCACCTCAAATATCCCAACTGCAGGAGGTTAGCATAATTTCCAACATAAAGTTAAACAAAATTATTCAGAAAAGAATAAACTAATTACCATAAAATACTTAAAAGATGAAATATTCAACCTAGAGTGCCAGGGTGTTTGGTATGGGGTGATTCTACTCTAGCTGGAGAGCCCTCTCAAAATTAGCAAGCACATTTTGTATCCATTCAAACAGGACCTGTGAACTCATCACAACTGAAGTTTATCTTAATAATTTAACATTTAGTTAAATGTTAAGAGATAGTTGTTATTTCTGTAGAGTTTTTAACACTTTGCATACATAAACTATAAATCTTATTGACATTAATAAAATTTTTGAAACATTAATTTCATGGCATCCTTAAATATCTCAACGCACTATGAAGTTTTCCAGGATGCTCTATAAGTATACATATATGTTCTATAATATTATTTAATTTTTCATTATATTTCAGCAATTCTGAGTGTGTAGCAATGCTCAGCTGTATGAGCTGTATTTCTAACAATGCATGCTTTGTTTCTTTTAATCTCTTCTCTGGAGTTTTTCATTCAGGTTTGTGAAGGTATATTCATTAGTTTAGTTTCTTATCTTGTAACATAATTCTTGCCATTGGTTTCTTCATTATCCTCTGAATGACAGTAAATCTCTGCTTTGCCATGCTGATGAAGGATTACATCTGTTAGATGTCAAAACTGAAAGAATACGCTTCTTTTAGATCTTCACCTTCTAAATCTGCCTCTACATTCTATCTCTTCCACTTAATTAAATCATTGTTTGATTTGGTTTTCCATTTAATTTCAGCAAAACCTCTGGAACAAAATAATTTAAATTAATAACTGTGCAGCTTCCACTCCTTAATAAGCAGTTATTATTGGACATTCCAGTCTGGCTGGAGCGAGCTGATTTTAATTAAAAAAGTCAAAGACAAAACCCTGAACAGATAGAAGAGAAAAAAAGACCAAATAAAGCCTGACAATACGGCTGCAGAATTAAGAAGTACATTACGCCAGCACCTTGTAAAATATATACCCAGTGTTGATACTGGCCAGATACAATTAGCTGCTTATCAATGGATGAGATTAACTTTTTAATTCAGAGTGCTGGTACGTAAGGATTCCTGTCACCCAGCTGAGCTCAGGAGGGATTTAAGCCAGAATGGAGATTCGGAGCGTGGAGGAGAAGTGTGGGAGGACAAATGGCACATGCTGGGGGACACGAGGGAGGGGAGCTCCCACAGTCTGACTCCTCCAGACAGCCTCTCAGTGCCTGTGCTCTGAATCCTGCCATGAAATAAACCTCCACAATAAAAATATAATATATATATAAATATAAATATATAAAAATATCTCCCTGTCTGCATGCTGTTACATAACCACAGGGAGTGTTAGATTCAACAGAGAGGAGAAGCAGGTCACACACGGGGGCTGTGAGAGCCCCAGAATGCAACCCTGCCACAGCTCAGGGGTACAACAAACTTTGCAATGAAAAATGAGCAGCAGTTCTTAAGGAGCTGCTTCTCATCTACTCATTTAATAAAAAAAAAAAAAAAGGGCGGAGGGGGGAAGGGAGAAAAGACAGAAGAAAACCCCACAAGCTACAAAGCAGAAAAAAAAGACAGAAGAAAAACCCAAAAGCTTTTATGTCAGAGAAAGTGAAAATATTAATTGCATTCCTGGAATTGCCATCCCTTGAATGCAACTGCTGTCCATAAACTTATTCCTCCAGTGGCAAAATGTTTTTGATTGAAAGAGCTTTCCAATTTAGGCTTTGCCTGCTGAATTTCTCAGGGCAGGTAACAAATGATCCTGACCTTCCTCCCTCCGTTTCTTCCTTGCCTTTCTCCTCGTGCTCCCAAAGGAGGCACAGCAATTACCAGATCCTGAACATGCAATCCTGGCCACAACCACTTCCCTATCCAAAAATATATTGTAGTAGAAGTCCAATAAAATTTTGCAAATTTTGGATCCTCAGGTGTTGAGGGTTGCTGCACAGATCAAGGATTGTTCTTAAGAACTGCTTTTCTGTGAAAGGCAAAAACAGTGAATGAAAAAAAGTATAGTGAAGCTTTTACTAAGATTAAGCCAGTATATTAAGAAGCAAGAAACCATGCACAGACATGCCAGACCATAGTAAAATGACCTTCAGAGGAAGAACAACAGATGGAAAAATTAAAGCTCAACAGAAAATCTTTTGAAAATACAGAGGAATACTTAACAGCCAATATGGGAAAACATACATCAATTACAGAAATTCCATCTTCTGAATTAAAATAATACAGGGCATACACCTGCATACATGTAAATAGGGGCAAGCCCCATGGGAGGCACAAACACTAAAAAGAAATGTGAGGGAACATCACACACTAGTGTTATTGGAGATTTGGATCTCCACAGTCAGATAAAAGATCAATCTGGATTACAGCAGAGCAGTGCACGCTGCTGCCTGTAATGCAAATTTAAATGCCACACCACACTCACAGCAAAGCCAGAAATGGGCTGAAAATTCTCTTCTTCCTGTGGAGAAGTTCCACTGGCCCCAGGTGCTTGTCCTCACCAGCAGCTGAATGTCTTTTTCTGGAGGGAATGGTAGGAAAGGGGAATAATTTCACTTTTGCACATTAACAATCTCCAGCAACCCCTGGTTCAGAGACTTCTGGGTTCAGACACGGGTTGTTCAATTTTCTTGTGAGGGCAAGAGGAGGGGCAGGCACTGATCTCTTCTTTGTGATGACAGTGACAGGACCTGAGGGAATGGGAAATTGTGTCAGGTGAGGTTTAGGCTGGATATTAGGAAAAGGTTGTTTCCCCAGAGGTGGCTGGGCACTGAACAGGCTCCCCAGAGAAGTGGTCACAGCTCCAAAAACTGCAAGGAAGTGATCCACAGATCTCAACAGAGCTCAGAAATGTTTGAACAAAGCTCTCAGGCATTTGATGTGACTCTTGGTGTTGTCCTGTGCAGGGCTAAGATTTGGACTTGATGACCCTCGTGGGACCCTTCCAGCCTAACAGATTCTGTGATTTAAATTAATTTCTCTCCCATTATCCAGCCCCATAATTGCAATTTTTTGGCACACACAATTCTGTAGCAAGCTTTTCTACAGGTTACTTATGGATATGAGACTCTGGGAAATGTCCAGTAATACCTGCCAGTGATGGGGTATCAAGATAACTTCCTATACTTTTCTTCAGAAATTTCATCCTCTAAATGAGCAAAACCCTCTCCAAATCTGAGCATGCTGTAAATTCACATACAATTGTAAATATGTTTGTGTAAATGGAGGATGTGTTACGCAGTAAGGGTTGGTATTTTCTCAATAGTTTCATTTTTAGCAATGTAGGTTTACTTTTTTGCATGTCTACTAGGATCAAATACAGGTTTAAATGCTAATCTTTGGTGTATAAAACAAGGTCATGTTAAAGCGTTTCAAATCTAACCTGCTCATGATGCTTAATATGTCAGTCCCTAGAGGAGCAGATTTATTTTTCCAAACTTATTTTCATTTCCTCCTCTTTAACCTCTTCTAGAACATTTTATACTCACAATCAAAACACAGCACCTCAGCTGCATGCCATTAATTTATTATTTTGTTTCAATTATTATTTTGCTCTGAATCCAGCCCCACATTGATTTGCAATTGTTCTATGAATTTAAAAGCAAATGACATTTTCAAGGTATTATTTAATCTGTAATTCTTTCTTGAACACTTACATGAATATTCCAAATCATAATGTTAGGTATGAAGAGCCTTTGTTTTTCTTGCTTGTTTTTCAGACATGCAAAAACCCTTCTGTAGAAATTACAATTATAGCTTTTATT